TTTGTGGTTGTAATGTGACAAAATATGGAAAAGTTCAAGGGGTATGAATACTTTTGCAAACCACTGTATATCTGCCTATTTCTCCACATTCAACTTTTAGACTTAATCCTCGTTTCGATGTGATGGGTCACAAATAATAAAAGACTCACCATTCGATCATCAGGAGCCGATTTAAACAGTCTTCCCCACATGCAAGCACTCCTTTAGCGCGATCTTCTCGTGAAAGAACTGGGCACTCACATTGCATCCTCTTGATATCTCGATGGGATTTACTTTTCTTCCTACAAATAAGTTTTAAACAAAAAATGTTCAGAATTCAAGCCACAATGTACCAATATAGTTTATAATGACAATAAACCATGTTATGTTTGTACATAACACTGGACACTTTACCTCTCGGTCAAGTAGAGGTTCTCCTCAATTAAGTCAAAGTAAGGAGGCATCTTTTTAGTCTTGGAAAACTCCTTCCATCTGCTGGCGTCTTGAAAGTCCCGCAGAGTGAGCAACGGCCTGCGCACGTCAGCTTTTCCTGAAGTTCCCTTAGACACAGCAGTATCTCCATGACGCTCCTTTTTGCTTGAGGGTCCAACTTCTGCCTCATTGTCGGAGTCCGACTCAATCTCTGGCCGCCGTTTCTTGGGAGGACCTCTGCCTCTGTGGGGTCTCGAGCTGCTCTCTCGAGGGGGTTCGGGTACAGTAGGACCCCTGCTGTTGCTGCTTATTTCGTGACCTTGCACAAAGCTCCATGACCCCGGAGTGTTAAACGTACCGCATTCAACTGCCAATTTACTAAGATTTACCAATGATTTGTCCTCGCTGTAGTCCTCATGATCATTCGTGAGGGAATCCGGGTGGATTTCACTAAACGGGTCTTGATCCCGTTGGTGGAGGTAGAGTATCGTATTACTTTGCGTGTTCGGGGATTGGTATGTAGAGGAAGCAATGCTCAGTCTGTGCTCTTGCTCTTTGCAAACGACCCCTGTTGGTTTAGTGTTTGTTAATTGTAGCCCGTGGCTGCTGTCAGGCTGCTGGCACGTACTAGTGGGTTGTTCTGGTTGAGAAAAGTCCCAGCTCAGACCGAGAACATTCTTGTCACCGACATTGTCTGATTTGGAGAAATCACCATGCTGGTAATGCAAGTTTATCTGGTTACCTTGGCTCCTTATGTCATGCTGTACTAGCCTTYGTTCGCACTGTTTGGAATTATCGAGCGAGTGAGAAGAATGTGTTGCACTGGTATGAGGCTGGGTGCTGACAGAGCTGGAACCCTCAGAATGACTGGTGCTGTCAATCGTATTGCTCTGGGACTGACACAACACACTGCTGTTGAGTGATTCACCTAAACTTGTCCTAGGTGTGGGTTGTGTTTGCTGTGAGCTAACTTGGTTTGGGACATCTTTTATATGTACATTGGCTGTTCCGTGAGTCTCAGGATGGTGGGAAGTAATTTCAGGAGTGTGTGGAGAATCATCCTTGATATCTACTTCCTTTGCCAGAGAAGAATGCTTTGGTACCACAACCACAGAGTGAAACTGTTTGATAGCCTTGTCACAGTCCGAATCATATGCCGAGTTGTCACTGTCGCTGGCATCACTGGGTGTTGCTAATGCATCCTGGGTGACTGGGGGTGTTTTACTAAGTTTGCTCCAGCATATGTCCTCCCTGGATTTGCTTTCATCAGTGTCACTGCTCTGGTTTTGTGCATCTGCAGCGGAGTCGATCTGTGATATGCGCAGAGGCTCATCTGTGTTCAGTGGTTGACAAGCAGAAAGCTCTAAGTCACAGTGGTCAGTGCTGGTGCTTGCATGCAAAGGCTCACTTTGGTCATTGTTCCTACAGGTCACGGGTATGCTGTCCAAGCAGACTTCTTGCTTAGACATCACTGTCTGGTTTATTGGTTCGGAATGTGTTGAATCTCCTGGCTGTATATTATCATTACTGTTGGGCTCTTGTTGGCTGTTGTCGGTAGAAATGTCTATTTTTTTAAAGGATATTACTTTTATCATCGCAAGCTTACTTTCTGCATACTCACCTTTGCTCAAACTATCACTTTCACACGTGTCTTGCCCAACAATGTCCCACCGAGACTTCCTGGTTGCACAGCTACTCTTTTTAACATCATCTTTATTTTGCTGTCCTTTCATTGGCTGATTTTCAGTTTCAAGACACAATGAATCTGATGTGGGTGACACACTTGTGTCCAATTGCTTCGCAAGACACAAAATGTTTTTTGGCTCAACAAATTCTGGTTTAGTGTTTTGCTGGACATCAGGTGTAACAGGTATATCTAGTGTATCCAGAGGGGATTTGGACACAAACTGACAGTCTGGAGCATTTTCTTTTTTGCAAATCAAACTATCATCGAGTTCACCTGAATTTGTGCTAGCATTACTCAAGTTCACATGTGGTTGATCATTTGAGAAAAAACTACCATTCACATTATTCAAATCTTCCACACTGTCACATTTCAGGTTGTCACTTGAGGATGAAGCTGAGGTATTTTTATTTTCCATTTCAAGTCCTGATTCCATTTCTTTCTCTGTCTCGGATAAAGTCTCTAGCAAACTCTCGTCGGCGGGCATTGCTGTCTCCTTACCATCCTGATCACTCTGTTCATTTCTGCCTTGCTGTGAATCAGACTTTTCTCTTTCACTCTGAGAACTCGATTCTGTGCTGGTTTCGCTTGTCGGAGGTTTGTCAGGACTCTGAAATATATCAATTGATTGTCTATCGTGTCTCGGGGATTTTGCAGACGATTTAGAGGGGGTTTTCTCTTTTGAATCCGGCCTTCTGGTTTTCTCTTGGGAGTCTTTACACTTCTCAGAAGAGCCCACGGTTTTGTCAGACGATTGCGATTTTGACTTATTATCTGCCTCAGAGTCACTGGAGTTGCTTTTTCGGTGCTTGTCGTGTGTTTGAGACCGGGTATGTGTACCGGAAGAAGATGATTTGGTGTTGGTCTCGGACTTATTATGACTGCTGGATTTACGATAACTAGAGTCCAAATCAGGAGTGAGCTTGTGTTGGGAATCAGAGTCTGATAAACGCTTTGATGTCCTTTCAGACTTTGAAGTTCTTTTATCATACTCAGAGGAGTGAGGAGACTCTCCAGACTTAGAAGATTTGTCCGATTTTGAGTAGGAAGTTGGTTGTGAGGATTTATTGGAGCTTGAGTAGTTGGACGACCTACTAGAGGCACTTGCTCTCGTCCTTGGTTTCCTGTGGTCATCTTCAGAGTCTGAACTATATCGAGTCCTGTCAGTGTGAGAACGAGAATGTCTTCTCTCTCTGCGTGGAGAACTCCTGTATGATCGTCGATCAGAATCGTGATAGTACGACCTTTCGGAACGAGATACTCTGTCACATCTGGATCTCTCTGATCTGGAGTGAGATGAATTTGTTCGAGATCCTCTAGATCTAGACCGTGATCGTGACTTGGACCTTCTGCGATCCCAGTCTGATCGAGACGAGCGCGACGATGTGTTTCTAGAGTCTCGCTCGGATTTGGAGTAACTAGAAGACCTTTCGTGATTCTCTGAACGCTTAGAGGAATTTTTTTCTCTTTCTCCAACATGTGAGTTAGAGGAAGACCTTTTCAAGTCTTTGCTTCTGCTGTCAGAGTTTGTTTTACTTTTTGAATCATCTGATTTGCGGCTGGAAGACGTACTGGGTAAATCTCCCTCGGTTTCTGAGCAAGGAGGAGCACTATCCGATTGCGACCTGGTTTTCCTTTTGTGCACACCATTATCTTGATCAGTACTGCTGGAACTATCACCATCTTTTCCTGAAGAAACAGAAGACTTCTTTGGGCTAGGGTCTTGCATTGCCTCAGAGGTGTGAGTGGGAACATTTTCAGATGGCCTGATGCTGGTGCCACTCTGAGGCTGGGGCAATGGGAATTCAGAGTCGTTCTTAGCTGCTGACTTTGGTGAAACCATCAATTCAGTAGCATGAAGCTCTTCTGATGTAAAAGGCGCTGGTTTCTCTTCAGTCACAGACGCATTAAGAATCTGCTTCTTAAAATGCATCTTGGCCAAGTTTGTTTTGAGTCTAGTTGGATAGGATTTTTGAGAAAGTGTCTCTGGAGAAGTTGGCACCGAGTTTGTCTGCCTTTGCTCTGTTTTACTGTTTGTACTCTTCCCCCCTTTGTCTGAGGTTGACTGTGACAAGGTGGAGGGAGGTTCAGCGACAGTCGTATCCGGACTGGCAGAAATGAAGAATGAATTATGAAGAGGTTTTTTTGTCTGTGAGAAGGTGAAGGACACTTTCTGACGACCCTGATCTTCCAGATTGACTTTCATCTTGGTCCCTTTTGGCAAGAAATGGTTGGATAACATAACTCTGGGTGACAAACTTTTTATAAGGGCTGATTTGGATAGGCCCTCCACTTTTACCTACAACAGAAGACAAAAATTTTTTTTTAATGCCACCACCAAAACAAAAGCTACTTAAATGTTCAAAGAAAAAAAGCAGGATATTTAAAAGAACGACTTTATCGAATTAACTTACCGAAGCACCACTCCCTTCCTGTCTGCATTTATTTGAAAAAAATCAAGGAAACACGAAAAGAGAAAAAGCAGAAATCAGTTTACAAGGTCCCTATAACACAATATGAATAAGTTAAACATTATTTTAACTTAGAATGATTGAAAGTGAGATGTAACAGGATGAATGGCTGACATGCAACAAAACTAGAGTAGATTCTCCAGCCAAGCAGACCCACATGATATATTCTGTTTGAGTCTTACACTCGGTTTGTTGCACAGTTAAAAGATACAATAAACGTGAATTTTGCTTTTTCTAACCTAAAGATGTGACATAATATGCATGACTTTCTTACACTCCTACGCTAAAGAATTTTACTTGCTGAGTATTGTTTTATAAACCACATATACTCAGAAAGGTTTTGTATATTTCACATTTAAAGCAGACAATAGAAGACATCAGGCATGTGACGTTAAAGGTTTAAATGATATTCAGGTGACAATAGGGACATTTTTACTACCTACATTTTAGGAGCTTTCAATATCAAAGACAACAAAAAAAAGATGAAGTAAAAGATTGTCTAGTTCTGTGAGCGAGCAGGTCTTTTAAAATAAATCAGAACATCAACACTGTGAGACTTTTCATTAGCAGCTGTGAGCTGTTTCAACACATTATATTTTCCATCTTGGATCTTCACTAATTTAAAGTTGAGTATTTTTAATGATGGAAACAACAAATCAAACATCTGAGAACATGATGTGATTGCAAAAACTGGATTTTGGGAATATGTTACAGTGATTACTGCTGTACTTTTCCAATACAGTACCTAAGTCTTATTTAAAAGTGATCTAAATGATTTTAAAGCTGCCTGACTTGATTTAGATCAGCAGTACATACAGTAATAGATCCAAAAAATCATCAGTGCACTCAAATAGATCGCCAATAGGTGAATTTCTAATGTCTCTAAAAATAGCTGCAGTATATAATATTTCAGTGTATCATCAGTTCCCTGGTATGTTTCTGATCTCAAGTGTTGGATCCAGAATCACATTTTTCTATCAAGTTAAACAGCCTATACCCAAACATTTATATCAACAGACCTTAATTCTGTCTCTAAACAGCAGTTAGGCAGAGTTTGTTACGCATCACCATTTAGTCATAATTAAACATTTTGAATTTATTTTATGAAAATTATTTGAATGTTTTGTATTACTCCTAGGTGTACTAAAAAGGTTGTATCTCAGATTGTAAAACTAAGTTCAGTAATGCTTTAAGGTTTTAGCGGTCTGTCAGCATCATAGATTTTGAATAAAATAATCCAAATGCAATTGAGATGCAGCCCTAAAATTGTAACAACAGCTAAAACGTAAAAACTGCTTTAACCTCGATGAACACTGAATCCACAGCTGCCCTTCAGATGCTTTAACAAAAACACAAACAATTTAATTTTAAACATTAAGTCACTTTTATGGCAATACCTGCATGCCACTGTGGCCTCAAGTACAGAAGCTGGGGATGTCACAGAAATAAGATTTTTACTGATTCTTTACATGCTAACATTTAAGCTAATTTGTACTTTCAATTATACGTAACTATCTTGAATAGTTTGATAAATGGAAAATATAAAAACAATCGAGTGACTGTTCAGTTGTTACAGAAACTAAAATAATCTAAACATAAAATAAATGGATGAGTTGCTTTTTTGTTCTCCTACAATAAGAAGGGTTTTCCTAGCACAGGMTTGTGAGTGCAGGACAATAATGAGGCCATTTATCCCCTCAGGAGTTCATTTCTCCTTTTTCTTTTTGACCTTTGAATTTAGTCATCTCTGCAGGGACATTTGGGTTCTAATAAAAGAGCTACAACAAGAATCAAGTTATTACCAGTCTGGATCTGTCATAGCTTTAACCTAATCCTCTTTTAGATTATTACTTGTTTCAAGCAGTAGTTGTGCGATTTCTGTTTTTTCCTCAACACAGCTGTGTCTCTAAGAAGCTGTTTTCTAAGAATTCATATTATATGAATGGATGTTATTGAGAGGAAGTAAACCTAATTAAATGCCCTTGCTTGGCTTTTTTTTTATTTCAAAAACCTGATGTCCAATCCTAGTCCTCAAGGGCCACTATCCTGCCAGTTTAGGGGTTTCTCTGCTCCAACACCTGATTTGAATGACGTTGTTTACAGAGTTGTAGCAGGGAAACAGCTAAACATGCAAGATAGTGGCCCTTGCATCAAGCACTAATAAACTACACACTATGTCACATAAAACACACAAATACACCCTATAAACAGCTGCAGATAAGTATCTAAGAAAGTGAAAACATGTTATGAAAAGTCTATTTGCAAAAAAAAAAAAAAAAAATAGATGTGTTTTATATCTGCCAGAGCTTAACAACTTGGTGTTACAGTGCTCACCTTTGGTCAGTGGAGAAAAAACGCAGTAATTCTTTGGCACTCTTCTTTTATTCAGCATGCCCTTTTTGTTTTTTGTTTTTTTATTCAGACCGGGATAACCATGTTTTATGTTTGGCATAAAACATGTTCCATGGCTCAAAGGGTATCGAGCACGGCTTTGCAAACTACTTTCTTCTTGCGAAACAAGGTTGTGCGCAGGACTTCAGAGCTGCTGTGGAGATGATCTTTTCACGCCCACAGGGTGACGACTCTCTGACCAATCAGCAGGGTGCGGTGATTTCACGTCACAGATCAGTATCAAATCAGCTCTTTTGGACTCTCAGCCAAGGAAATACTAAAGCAAGTACCTGATACAGGGTGCTACCTACAATGGAAAACATATAGAATCTAAGTAAAGGTGAGATGAGTCATACTATGTAATGGTAAAAGGCCATAAAAGATTCTTAGATTTAGTGGAGATTGAGATGAAAACAGTAAACTGTGTCAAGAAAAACGTACACATACTATAGCTTTGGTATAGTATGTGTACCTTGTTTATGTCAGTGCTGTCTAATACCTGATCTCTGACTTCAGTAGAGTGTCCATTGAGAAACTCTCCTAGGATTAGTGGGCCTGAAGAGGCTGCTGGCCAGGGATAGTCCAAATCAAAGAAATGAGCCCTCCAAAGTGATGCCACACCTAACAAAAAGAAAAATAGGTTTGCAATGAACCTCATGCCTTTACCCGTAACAGCTTAAAGAGATAGTTCAGATGTTTTGAAGTACAGAGTATTTTGGGAGTAGACAGCAACCAAAGCAACGTTAGTTTGGGGAAACGAGGAGACGTTCTCAAGGTTGGGTAAAGCTAAGGTCTACCCAGAGGAGGGTCCCATTCAAAAACTACTCAAATTATACCTCTGATAGAAAAGTGTGAGGTTTGAATAACAGCAGTTCTAAGTAGTGTTTCCTCACTGAGAACTTCTCCCCACTTTTCTTAACATCACCGAGTACGGAGGACGTAATGAGACACTGCTTATTTCTACTCCAGAAAATCTGAACTACTCCTTTAAAGCCGCTCTCAGGAAGATTGCACTTTTAACATCTGTAACATTTGACAAAACGTGCTAACATTAATCAGTTAGTGGAGGCATGTCCAACTCCGGTCCTCAAGGGCCGGTCTCCTGCAAGTTTTAGGTTTGTCCCTGCTTCAACACAGCCGATTCAAATASATGATTTACCTTCTCGGTTTGCCATCAAGGTCTGCAGAGGCCCACTTAAAGCACTCCTTAGGTTCAGCTGTGTTGAACCAGGGCAATACCTAAAACATGCAGGACACCGGCCTTTGGGGACCGACTTTGGACACCACGGAGTTAATGTTTATATCACATTATAAATATTATAGAAAGGAAAGCAGAAAAGCGGAAACAGTAGTTTTGATTGTGTGACAATAAAAGATATTTTTGTACTTCTTCTTGTGCCACTCATATTGTGTAGTGATATGTTGTTTCTTCTTGGTGATCCTGGCCTTCCAGAGTCTGCCTTTTTAATCTGTTCCTAAAATCTTTTTGCAAACAGAAGTTCTGGTATTTTGTGGGTCATTTTTGAAGCTTCATTTTTAAAACTTTATCCGATGATGGTGCCTCAGTCTTTTAACCATAACTATGACTTTGTGTCCTTCTAAACACTTCCTCACAGTTAATTTAAGATGGCTCCATGCAGTTTTTTATCCTCCACATCATGTTGACTAATTGTAACAACACTTGCACTTACTTGTATGTCTTAATTATTAACTTTGAATTTTTTTGCTTCATTTAAGGCTGATTTATTTGCATTATAGTATGTTTTACTAGGCCCTATTTTACACCTAAAAACATGCTTAGCTTTAACTTATATGGTACAGGTTTGAAAATATGCACAGAAACTACGGTATGTTTAAAGTACCTATTTAATTGTGCTGGTAGCACACCGCGTCCTACATTCAGCGGTTAAAAAAAAGTTATCGGTTATTGCCATATGTCAATATGCATGCATGGTTATCAGCTTTTGAACAGGCATTCCTTTTCTTTTCCTCTTCCTAGTGTGGTAGTCTGGTAAACTTTAATAATGCTGTTGTTTGAGTAGACAGAAAACAGACAAAAGGTTATGTTCAACAGGTGATTTATATGAGAAGAGGTTTCATTGTTGATAAAAAACAGTATGGAAACATGAATGCAGGGCAAAGAGAGGATGGATCGAAACAACAGAAATGTCAAGACCAAGCTAATGACTTACAGAGGAACAGGCTTTGTGCAAAATGTTTTTTTACGTGAATAACCACTTCAACAGTGACCGCTTTAAACAACAACCAGGACACTAATGGCAGCATGGCCCGTGTGTGTGTGTGTGTGTGTGTGTGTGTGTGTGTGTGTGTGTGTGTGTGTGTGNGTGCGTGCGTGTGTGTATGTGTGTGTGAACAAGAGGGGGTGGATCCAGCCAAAACACGGCCTTTAAAAGGATGAATGCAGCCACTGTGAAATCCAGCATTAAATGAGTTGCAAACATCTCCTCAGTCAAGAATGTGKAAATGGCCATCCTACATCGTATTTGAAAATACAGAATAAGCAGACTGACTGGATTTTAACTAAACTAATCATTTAACACATTTGCCARTGAGAAAGATGCCAGAATAAGCTCGGCTAGCTTGAACGAGCTAGCATAGATGCTTCTCGGAGGCCATATTTTCTAGAAATGTTAGCTTCTGTTGTGTTCAGAATAATGTTAACGACACGTCTGTGAGTGTTAACATAACAAGTGCGACAATTTGGTCGTAGTTCAGCTGGGTGACACGTTTAACTATTTGTTTTGACAAAAAAACTACTCGACGAACAACCGCAGCACCAGGAGCTAGCATTAGCATTGCTAGCAGTCCGGATGCTAACGTGAGTATTTTTGCATTTGTTTTGTCGGTGTTTGACTTAAAACAAAAGCATTAGGACCTAGTGATTATTTTTTTCATACCCACGACAGCTCAGTATCCGATCATTTAAAAAAAACACGAGTAAAACTTTTCTATTTTAAGACCTAGTTTACCCGTACACTGGAATCTGTCTCAGCCGGCTTAGCTTGCAAGCTAGCTAGCTACTGATGTTTTGTTGTGTTCGTGCAATTTCACCAGAGCTAAAGTATCCTTAAATCGGCGTGGTTAACACGATACTCACTGTACTACGTGTTTAAGGTCACAGGGATCCCCCATCCTTAAAAAAAATCGGCAATCGTCCCGTTGTAAAACATCAAGCGCATTCAGACGTCAGATCCATACGGAGCTGTCGGAAATGACCGTCGGCTCTGTGGCTCCAGAGCTGCTGCTGCGCCTGAGCTTCAGCATGGGGCAATGTTGGTCCAAGAGCTGCTAGCATGTGCTCAGGTGGACCGACACAAGGTTTAAAGGAGGAAGGAAGCCGAAAACTCCACACGGTTACTCTGTTTGACCGACCAGTCGCCAATAAAATAGATATTCGGATCCGTTTTCATGTTTTTTGGACATTAATGCGGTTTCGCTCAACTGATTCCAGTGAATCCCAGAGTTGTTGCCGTCTACACAATCACATGACGTGAGGACAGCTGGTGCGAGCATTGGAGAGCCAAACTGTGTTAAAACACAACATATTCCTGCTTTAAAATGTAAACAGTAATATAGAGTCATTGTGAAATAATGGCACTTTGTGTGAAACACTGATATAGAGACAAAAAGAGAAAAAAAGAAAACACCAGAGACACAACCTGGTTGTTTTGATGCCAATCAACAATACAGTTTTAAAGGGAATCGTGGCAAAGTATAAAATCAGATATAAAAAATATCCTGAACTATTGTGCAGTTAGAGAGAATTACTTTACAAGATATATTGACTGGAATTCTCAAATGCAGACCCTCACTCAATGTAAACAAATTACTCCGCTGAATCAGCCATCTGTGTGAGTGAACCAATATGACTGCTTAGTTCAACATTTGGTCTTTTTTTCAGTTACTTTTGCTGTTTCTGGAGGTAAACAAACACAAAGCAGTGTTTACTGTCTTGTCACAAATTCTGCTAACAAAGCAGCCAGTGTTTGATACAGTTTAACATGGAGCAGGTAAATCAAAGATTAAAGCTGTTTCAGGAGTTTGGAGAAAAGATTATTTAAGTTCAAATTAAAGATAAACACTAGAAAACCATCCCTGTGCTGCTTCATGTTTCTGTGACCACAGTTAAAGATGTTTAAATGTTGCTTTTTTGTGTATAACACTGTAAAGCACACCACACAGAGATATCCTGGTATAGTTAAGTATAATGTGTATCTTTCTGTTAGATAAGATAAGATCATCTGTAAGATAAATGTCAGATCAGATCAGCTCAATATAATATTGTGTATTATGTGTAAATTATATGTAAAGTATCTGTATATTGTTAATACTAGAGAGACACGAACAGCCTGAAACAAAATCCTCGTGTGTGTCAACATGCTTGGCCAATAAACCTGATTTTGATTCTGATTTAAAAAGATATAAGATTTAAAGGTCTGTAGCAACACCATCTGTCACATTTKGAGTCATAGTGGGCTTCGTGGAAGAAGGGGAACGCCACTACTGGCAGAAAAGCATTTGGTTGTGTGAAAATTGGCAGTTCAGTTGCAAAAGTGTGACATCAGAAAACATCAGAAAAATCAAAAAAACTTAATGGGTTTAAAAATTTAACCCAAACAGAATATAAAGACAGCTAYGGAGCACTCGTACAGTCTAAATTCAACTTTTCTGCACCATTAGAGACTCCACACAGACAACAAATACATTTAACAGCTAAAAAAGTCGATTCTTTTTACACTCTGCAGCTTGGTTTAAATCTCAGCAAATTGCTTTTACCACATTTAGATGCCTAAATGTGTTGGTTCTGGTGTTTGAAGACACTTCAGAGGAGCACCATCACGGCCTAGAAGATCACCGGAWGCCCACTACCTTCTCTGGAGGAACTGTACAGCTCTCACTGACGCTGTCGCAGGAAAGCCACGGACATCCTGAGTGACCCCACACACCCAGGTCGCACCATGTTCCAACCACTGCCATCAGACAGGACGTACAAACTGGTTCATTTAGCCTCACAGCCATCAGGGCACTGGATGCAACACAACAGCGCAGTGCAAACACATACGGCAACAATACATTCACAAACAACTGCTGTGTACTAACCAGTGTGCAATATGTACAAAATTAACGTGCAATAACTCTGTCAAATGTGAAAGTGCCGTACAGTTATGCCTTCATTTTGTTTATATTTGATCTTTTATTTTTATTTTTACGAGTTTATGTTTCTTCTTTACATCTTGATATTGTAATTTTTTTACTCCTCTATACTTTGTATTCAAACACCACAAGAGAACAACTAATTTTGTTGTACTTGTTACAGTGACAAATATTTATTCTATTCTATTCTATTCTATTCTATTCTATTCTATTCTATTCTACTCTGTATATACGACTCAATAACTTTCTGTGGTAATAAGCTATTGGACAGGTGTACTTAATATAATGGCTGGTGAGTTTATTTATGCAAAATATACAAAAAAAAGTATTTAACAAAATTGTACAGAATTGTTCATAAGTTTATATTTTCTTTTAACTACAGTGAAATGAATGACATCTTCATAAATGAGATGTATGTATCGTTTGTCAAAAAGTTGTCAGTGTAACAAATGTCTTATGTGTTTTAGGCAACTTTTGACTAAGTTTAAATCAAATAAATATAAAATTTTACAAACATATATATTTTTATAAACTTTAATATTAATAGTAAGGACAAAAATGTTGACGTGAAACTGCACGAAATAACTCGAGGTCGCGATGCTTTGACACACCCAGTCCAGTAGGTGGCAGTGTGCACCACCAGAATCTGACTAACAAAGAAGAGTCTGACTGACTGCTGCAAATTTCGACGTGAGGGCACCTGAAGCCACTTTTTTTTTTGGCCGTATTCGTCTATTTTCTCAACTTTGTTCGAGCGTTTGTGTTTGCCATTTGTGTAAGTTTGGCCAGTGTTCGAGAGGCTGTTTTGTAAAATATATATAAAGAAACTAATGTCGCATTCGAGGCCTTACAGCCGCCACCATCGAATGAACTGAAGCTAAAGCTAAATGCTATAGGCCTAGTTAGTCACAAAGCTAACTTTAGCTTAGCTCATTCTTCGACGATGTTTGCTAACAAAAGCTAAGCCACAATAAACGTACTTCGAGCACAGCATGACAATAATTGTCATTTCTGTATATTTTATCATAAATCCAGTTTGATTTCTAGTTGAGCGGCTTTGTGAACCGCAGCGGGGGTCACTGGATTTAATATTCTTTTCGTGCGTTCATTTAGCGTGACGAGCTAACATTTTGGGTCGTCGCTTGCTTAGGGTTTGTGGGCCCTTTATTGAGGAGTGCGGTTGATAAAATGCTTTGTTTGTTGGTATGAAATGTCGGATCGTGTTGACGAGGTTTTGGATTTCTGCAGAGTGATGCAGTGGTTCGGATGCTAAAGCTCATTGTTGAGCCTTGGTCTGGGATGAAACGATGGCAGCGGACATGTTACGGTCCTGTGCTTTGGGAGCWTATGGTTGATTTCGCATTACTGCTTTAATTTTCTTGATGCAGATGCTGTAGTGTAAACTGGAAAGCTTGCAGAAATGCAGTTGATTTTTGTCATCGAAAGGAGAAATTACTCATGTTACTCTTATTTAAAATGGGTGATTGGTAAGTGAAAAAACAAAAACAAACTCAAGGAACCCAGCCCTGTGGAGTCCACTTTGTGGTGAGGTGAGAACAATCTGGAAACGTTGGTGGAGGAACCGGTGGGATGGATTATTTTCTTTTCCAGCAGAAACAGTGTTTCCCTTATGGAGGATATTTGATACAAACTGGGAGAAAAGCTGTCCTTCAGATGTACCAAAAATGGAGAGATGTTATTCAACTTGAAACTCATCCTTTAATATAGAAGTTTAAAATCTTTGTCTTTGGTTGTGAAAGTGTTTTGTTGTACCTGAAGATGATTGGATTGTGTCTTCAGTTTGGTAAATTAATGAGCAGCTACTAGGTTTGTGTTGGTGTAGTAGAATTTGTTGTGTAGACATGCACCATTTGAAGCTTTTGTTAAACAATTGACAACATAAAATAACATAAAGCTCTTAGATTTTAGCAATTGTTGCTTTAGTCGTTCATATATTTCCAAGAATATATGCAAAAAAATTCTGATAATTTGTACAAAATGTACATTTTATAGCAAACTTTTTATCTTCTGACCCACAAACTATCTATGGCAAAAACTTTTGACCCCAAATATTACTGGTCTGAGTACATGAACTTCGTTAATAACCCTAAAA